AATTTTTTTTTTTCTCTGGCCCGTGACAAAACATGAGTATCATTATGTAACTATAATATTTGGTCCTAAAACCTCTCTGAGACTGAAGATCAGTTTACACAAAAAATGATGTGATTGATTTTAATCGAGGAATCGTGTAAAAAAAGAAAAGAAAAAGGAGGCGGAGTTTTGACGGAGATTTCTCACAGTGAAATGTAACATACGATTTTTTTAAATTCATGTATATTTGTAATTCGTTTTAAAAATATAACAATGAGAAAATGTTTAGGGTTTAATGTGTTTTTATTCAGGCTTCATTCCAGAGCTTTTCTTTTCTTTCGTTTTGTTGAGTGAATGCATTTAGTCTAAACACATGAAGTATAATGCCAAATAATAGTTAGCATTTGAGGTCCTGATAGATTTACATGTTTTTTTAAATGTAATATAATATGTGAATACCGAACAGTCTTTCATAGCCTCAAGATGTCAGTATTACACTGAGGAACCACACTCCACTTTATCCAGCCCCTCACCAACCTTTTGTCTGAAAGGAGCAGAGGGGGATTCAGGTTTTGGTTTGTCACTCGATCCAGTCGTGCTGTGGAACTAAACTATTTGTGGCTCTTGATGGCTGTACAAGTGTAGTTCTTGTGCGTTAGCTTAGTTCTGCTGGAGAGTGATGATGATGATGATGATGACCGGGACCGAAACTCAAAATCCAGGACGGAGATACCGCGGGCTTTCTTTGTGTTTGGCCTTGCTGTTGTTCACCGGAAAGCAGGCTTTTGCAGAGACCAGATACTCCGTTGCAGAAGCGGTGAAGGACGGATCTGTGGTGGGAAACGTTGCGAAGGATCTCGGCCTGGAATTCACCTCTTTGACTGACCGACGGTTCCGCGTTGTGTCTGAAAACGAGAAGGCATTCTTTGATGTCAACCAGGACAATGGGGATCTGTTTGTGCTTCAGAAAATTGACAGGGAGGAGCTGTGTCAGGGAAGTGGCGCGTGCCTTATGGAGCTGAAGATCATAGTGGAAAACCCGTTGGAGATACATTACGTGGTTGTAGAAGTTAAAGATGTGAATGATCACGCCCCTGTTTTCCCTGAGAAGGAACAGCGCTTTGAAATATTTGAGCAAACATCACCAGGGAGACGATTCCAGCTGCATGCAGCTCGTGATCCAGATGCAGGATCTAACTCGATTCGTACGTACACATTAACGTCAAATGAACACTTTGAAATAGATGTGCGTCAGAGTGATGAGGATAAAATACCATTTTTAGTGCTGAAGAAGTCTTTAGACAGAGAACAAAAAAGCAAGCATGTGTTTTATGTAACAGCTGTAGATGGAGGTAAACCTCCAAAATCTGGAACATTAAATGTTTCTGTCATTGTTCTTGACAGTAATGATAACCGTCCTAAATTCAGTCAGGAGACTTATCAAATTCAAATAGAAGAAAATATACCAACGGGCAGCTCAATATTTAAAGCAAACGCAACAGATCCAGATGAAGGTACAAATAGTCAAATTGAGTACAGCTTTGGAAAAACACTTAAGAAAAAAGTCTATGATATTTTTGATTTGGATAAAAAAACAGGAGAATTAAGAGTTAAAGGTGCTGTTGATTATGAAGAAAATGATGTTTATAAACTGGACATTGAAGCGTCAGATAAAGGGACACCTCCTCTAACAGGTGAGTGTAGACTCGTTATAAAAATAAAAGATGTGAATGATAATCCACCTGAGATAGATATAACATCACTATCCAACAGAGTGTCAGAGGACTCAAAGCCTGGTACGATTATTTCTCTCATTAGTGTAAAAGATAAAGATTCAGGCCTTAATAGTAAAATAATTACAAGCATATCAGCCGATGTTGCTTTTGAATTAAAACCATCTTACAAAGAAAATACATATTCAGTTGTTACTAAAGGAGTTTTGGACCGTGAGGAAATTTCTAGTTATGAAATTACAGTCAAAGCAACAGACTGCGGGGAGCCGCAATTATCTGCTTTTAAAACACTGATAATTCAGGTAACGGATGTAAATGACAACATGCCTCAATTCTATATGAACCCAGTAAACATTTACCTGTCAGAAAATAACGTAGCTGGAAAATCAATAATTAGTGTAAGCGCCACAGATAAAGACCTGAATGAAAATGCAGCTATTTCCTACCATCTCGTGAGGGACGGACATCAAAATGACGTCACGTCATTCCTTAATATTAATTCAGAAAACGGACAAATATCAGCGCTAAAAAGCTTCGACTTTGAAATTTTAAAAACTTTCCAGTTTCAAGTTGTGGCCACAGATTCTGGAGCTCCGTCTCTGAGCAGCAACGTGACAGTGAACGTGTTCATTCTGGATCAGAACGACAACGCTCCAGTCAT